AAAAAAAAAATTAAACAGAAACTTAGACTTACAATTTGTCAATTGGATGAAGGTACTACAAACAAGGCCCACAGAAAACAATTATCGAATGCCAAGTCTCCTCAATTGTCAGGGAAAACGATCAATTAGCATCGAGTACCCCAAGAACAGAGCAGCTAATAACACACGTCCGCCCGACAGCAAAGCCCGTAACGGAATCTAACAGTGCGAGTGCGACAGCGATGTAAAGTTTAAAGTTCGCGTTCATGTTTAAAGAGCGTAGAAGTGCGGACAATAAACTCTGAAGCAGCTACCTAGACTGAAAGTAAGTGCAAATAAAATTATTGTAAATGCAAGATAAATATGGAGTCTATGGATTTAAATTGCTCAGCGTTTAATCCCCGACGCTGTGCTAAATTAACTGATACAAATTTTCCAAAATTTTTACATTTATTGCAGGTAAAAACGCGGAATGGCGAGTGCCAGAACTTTAGTATTAAAAAAATTCATATTACATTTTGATCATTACAAGGAAAGATAAAAATTGGTGCATTGACGTGCAGTAAAATGCGTGTGAGTAAGGTTAGTGGGTGTGGAAGTGATTGACGGCAATAATGCTCATGTTGAACAGAAGTTGACGGGTCAACACTACGTCTCGGACATTTGAACAGTTAGCTTGCGATATTGGAAGAGCACTTAGACTAGTAGAGATAAATAATAATAATAGCGGTTTCAGCACTTAGTAGGCCGTAGGCCTGTCGCTGATTCTTAACATCGCAGAATATTCACATCATTTTGCGGTCTCTAACTCGCAACTCACTGCTACAATTCTGCTGTGCTTAACCGCCTGGCCTCCTTGCCGATTCTGACCAGAAACTGTCGCACAGAGCTGGGATCGAACCCGCGCCTCTCTGCTCCAATCTTGGTACTCTGAACTTTAACAACTGGGCTAAAATACTAAATAAGACAGGATAGAAAAACTAAAATACCAAAAGTGCCATAGCTGCATTTTTAAAAAGTATTGTGATGATTACTTAGAAAATAAGGGATGGATAGTATCATTGAATGGCTTTTTCTTAGCCTATGCCTCAATTACTCTCCCCTTTCGCTACCCTGCTCCCTTACCTCCCGACTTCACCCTTCGTTCCCCCCCTGTCGTAAATGAAGTGTCACTGCGTATGTTCAAGTGTGTACGCGAGCACGATTATGTTAGTAGAAAAAACGCTCGTGTATTCAGGAAAATGAAATGTTGTTGTGTCTGCACATTTTAACCCTCGAAAGAAACTTTGAATGCGAACCTGTTAGGCATGATATTTGGCATTTCTCAATGACCCGTCTGAATATCTTGTATATCATACACTATCATCTGCATAAAGCTTATAAAAAATCGATGAGATGTATTCAGGATAGTAATAACTATTTAAATCTCCGTAATTTCGTCTTTTAATTACAAAACATAAAGTAATAATATTGAATGAATTCCAGCGCTCCTGAACGCGCTCCTGAATTCGTTTCGCGCATTATCTCGGCCGTGGAAACGTCGATAAAGGTTGAGCGTTCACACAGAGCGAGTTACCAAGTATAGCGAGCTGGTGCCTGTTGTAGAGCTGTCTCCTCAGTGCCTCCAACACTGCCGTGTCGGGCCCGGTCACAATATTCGTTCTCCTTACGTTGTTGGAACTGAGGTAAGAATTTTCCCATAAATGAATTGAGCTGTTTATATGAAAAGTGAGCATTGCGTTATGCGTCAAGAGCAAATGATGCTGGCAAAAACTGTGTGCGTTCCTAGACATAAATAATTGAGTTATCTTGTGTATTTGATATAGATGTGAATTTTGATGAGTTTAGAGCTAGAGAAACTAAATGCAAATGATAAAAACGCATTAAAATGCTTTTGATTCATTATTCAACACCTTGTACTGACTTTTCAACTATTAGAGCTTAGTTTTCTTAAAATGGATGTTCATAAATACTAAGAAGATGCGTGTACAAACAATCGTCCACTGATGCTAGGCGTTAGCATTGCGGTACGTGAGCTGCAATACAGATGATGTGACGAGCCTTTCATGGCCATCACAGCCTCTCAGTCAGTGAGTGAGTACCATAATCCGCTATACATCTGATATACATACAGTGGCTATACATAACCCGCTATACATCTGATATACATACAGTGGCTATACATAATCCGCTATACATCTGCTATACATACAGTGGCTATACATAACCCGCTATACATCTGCTATACATACAGTGGCTATACATAATCCGCTATACATGCGGGCTTCTTAGCCACTTGCAGCCAGATATGAAGATGAAGTTAGAGGATTGAACCCATGAGATTCTGACGTCTCAAAACTAGATAATAAAAATTATTTTTACGACTTATAAGGTAATGTAAAGCGATAACTAACCATTATAACCATTATTACTCTAACTAGCCGTTATAACCATATTATTACTCTAAAGATAGCAACAAGATGCGGTAATTTAAACTTATTGCAGGAGTTTCAGTTTGTTTAAATCATTCAATTTTGAACACATTGGTCACACAGCAACAAACTGCGTGAATGTATTGCTCTCGTAATAATTTCCTATTAGTACAAATTGATTAGCGCACTTGAATAATAAAAAATACAGTTATGTCAGATTTTTTTCTGTCTGTACATTAAAGCGTTGCAATTAATTCTGACCAATGCCAGATTGCATCTTATTATGGAAGGTCGGTTTTTTGCACTTTGAACGCTTGAAACTTGAAGTGTTTTATCGGCAGCTGTGTGCACTCATGCAGTGTCGTATTGGTGGCAGAGTGCGCTCAGTGTTGTATTGGTGGCAGAGTGCGCTCAGTGTCGTATTGGTGGCAGAGTGCGCTCAGTGTCGTATTGGTGGCAGAGTGCGCTCAGTGTCGTATTGGTGGCAGAGTGCGCTCTGTGTCGTATTGGCGGCAGAGAGCGCTCAGTGTCTCATTGGCTGCAAAGGACAGTGTTAAACAGCCATACGAGTTCCCGTCTTCACAACGATGAGCTCAGAACACCGATCTGTATTCACGGTAGCGATCTGATTTAACGTAGCTGTTAGACATTCCATAGCAATCTTCATATACGACTGGTTGTTGACGATAATTTGCGATAATTTGGCAAATTAAATTTTGTTTATGTACTGAAAATACACCAGTATAAAAGTTAACCAGAAACGCAAATTCAATTTCTAAGAAAAAGTTATAACATGTGTTACCTAACCTGTGTGTGTACAATACTATTTACCTCAATTATTGCAAGTTTCATAGCGAGTAAAAAAATTGTATACGGGGACTTAATGGGTTGAGCCGTATTCATCCAATGAAGTGATCGCAATTAATGTGCGAAAAAGCTCCTAATAAATTTAGAGGACTGAAACTAACTCTAGTGATTGTATAAATAAGCAATTACGAAGCCTGTAAAAATCCATGACAAATTGTAATTATTATTGTTTTTCACCCCATTTATCATTGTTTTATATTAGACCACAGTTTGATCGGTTATTGTAGTCCGAATAAAAAGACTCGTGTTGGCCTAGGCAGCGATCATGTCGTCAGGAGACAAGCAGCAGCAGCTGACCAGCGTGGACGAATGTTTGGAGAAACATCTCCCGCCTGCTGAACTGGCCGAGGTCAAGAGGATACTTTACGGACGAGATGTGCCGTGAGTTTACCCATAAAGTAGGCAAAACTTCGGTTCTTTTTGATGGAAATTAAACTCGAGATAAAATTATCTGAGACTGAATAATATGCGATATATTGTGAAATGATGTTACTTATACTCTTTGGTAGAGCATTATGAACATTTCGTCGATGCTGTACGAAAAAAAAACAGGCTAGTGTATGTGCTTTGTTCCTGAATGGTCGAGGACCCATTTGCAGAGAAAATGAATATTTTTCGTTAATCTTTAGATGGATTGCATCCAAAACACTGCTAATGCTGACAGTAACTGTGGTTTAGTATTAAATGTTGCGCAGGCGCATAACGCTGCCACAGTCAGCCCTGGACGCCGCTCAGGAGGGCAGCTTTGAGATCAAGGCCTTCAAGTTCGATGCTGCCAAGGAAGACATAACAACTCCTCGGTGAGACGCAAAAAAATGGTTTTACTTGTTCTTTAATGAAACCTACAAATAACTTGCAGTTTGTAATTTAATAGTTTTAAATTCCATTTTAGACAGGTCGTTGACATATGATAGCCTAGTGCGATTTCTTTGCTGCATGGTACACAGTGACACAATTTTGGACCCTGAGGCAACACCGCGAATAGAAACTAATTCATATAATAATAAATATGCAAGATTAATAATAGTTCTGATAGTTCTGCAAGACTAATAAATTTTACTTTTGGAATTTCTAGATGACAATATTCTTCTCTTCTCAAGTCTTGCTATTAAAACTGAAATAATTTTTCCATCCAAAAAATGATACAAGAGACAAAAATTTTGAAATTCTTCGTCACATACGAATTGCTAATTATTTCTATTTTTATGATGTTGACTTCAGTTATGTCTTCAAAACAAAACAAACATATTTAGTGCTATTGATTACTCTCAGTCCTGTTCTATGCCTATGTTTTTTTTACGAAAATCGTATTTTTAGCGCATTTTCTCATTTATGTTAAAAATGCACTATTGTGCTCGCCATGTCCGTCCGTCCGTCTGTCCGTTCGTCTGTCTGTCTGTCTGTCTGTCTGTCTGTCCGTGACTTCAAGTTTTCGTCGACGAGAAAATGCGCTCTCTGTCACTCACTGCAGTGAGTTTTGAGTTATATTTTTTTTTACATTTGATGCCCTAATCATGTCATTTCACATTTTCAGATAGAGCTTTTTAAGTCATCAGAAATTTAAAATCAAGAAAAATGTAAAGAAAATTCACAATTATTTCATTGATGCGCAATGCATACAAACGGTACTCGTAAACCAGTGCAGAGGGCCGCATCCGGGCAGGAAGGATACCATTACGCCTGAAGAAGGATGCAATTTAGAATTATTGACCTATAAAACATACAAGTTGGCCTTTAGGAAATATTCTGTAGCCATAGTTTTAGAAGTAGAATCAGAATATGTTATAGTGCATTAAATTAGTTTTCTTCTTTCAACCTAAGAAGCAGCTTTGCTCAAACATGACCTCGTTAATTCGAGTAAAGACAAAATTTCACGGCAAACTGTTTGGATAAAATTGGATAAAAAATTTGATATTACAACGTGGAGGTATGGGAAAGTGCAATGGAAAATTTCCCGTTTTGTAACCTCCTCCTCCTTATCATATCATGTCATATCCTTTTGATGTTGACGCTGAAGAATAGGCCTGATGTGGCCTTATGGCCGTCGATCTCATGAATATTAGTGTGTCTAATTTATTCTAGAGCTGGGAGTCGAAAATGCTTTGTGATTTCGTAGGTCACATTTATTAAAATTTAACGGTAAATTTCGAACTTCAGCAATTGATACATTTGTCCGAATCGATTTAAAAAGTTTAGCCTCTCCTTCCGGCGTTTTAGGTGTGAAGATTTTTAAATCATTGCACATTTTTAAACGAAATACTTTTCTTGACAACACTTGCAGTTCTTATCAATTAGAAATTGTCAATTAAGTTTTTTTTCGTAGTTTTGGCCATATATCTTCCAGTTTAAGTTTGATTTCTTTCGCGTAAATTAAGACATTCAATTGATTATGTCTGCATCATTGAAATTTTGTAACTAATAACTGTGCTGGTCTACAAAACGTCTTCAATAAAATATGATTAATTTTGTTCCATTCCTTTCATTCTTAAATTCTCATTTATCTTATGATTTGAGCGATCCGAAGATTTTAATACTCATACACTCTGACGTCAGACAGACACTATAAGTATTCCACTCGGGAAGAAAAAATCTCTTTTCGACAATCTTTCACCCTCATTTTCAGACGTTTTCTCAGCCTTTTTGTAGTTTGTACATTAATTTAATGTTTGGCGTGGTGCAGCGTAGTGCGTGTCGGACTCGTGCAGAACAAGATCGTGCTGCCCACAACGGCCCCTGTACAGCAGCAGCGCGACGCTCTCCTCGCCCGCTGTGCCACCATAGCGCGGGCCGCGGCAATGGCGGGGGTCAATGTCTTGTGCCTGCAGGAAGCTTGGAGTGAGTCTTGTGTTTCTAGAAATGTTTTCAAGGCACAACCTAGACTTTTATTTGGAACTGTTTTTTATTTAGCTGGTGTTCATGATAAAAAATCTCCCAATTGTGTTTTTCTTATAAACAGCTTAAATGACCCTTATACATTTTCATTTCCACATTTATTCATCAAAAAGTAATAGTTAGATGCTTTAAATATATTTGAGCGATATTGTTGTGGAATTAATCGCTGAATTTCACCAATTTTTCAGACATGCCCTTCGCCTTCTGCACGCGAGAAAAGCTACCGTGGTGCGAGTTCGCTGAGCCTGCAGAAGACGGACCAACCACGCAGTTCATTCAGAAGGTAGACATTTGCTGCTCAGCTCCTTCTGACGTCTGAAGTTAGCACCAATTGAAACATAAATGTATATTTGGTGTTTATTTATTCATTTTATCTTGGATATTAAAATCTTGATGAAGCCTCATTCTTCTCCGCGATTGTTGTGGAAAAACATGCAATCATGTACTTTTTTAGCGCATTTTCTCATTTATGGAAAAAATACACTATTGTGCTCGCCATGTCCGTCCGTCCGTCCGTGACCTCAAGTTTTCGTCGACGAGAAAATGCGCTCTCTGTCACTCACTGCAGTGTTAACTGAGTTATATTTTTTTTACCTAGATTGCGCGAGAGCACAACATGGTGATCATCTCACCCATACTGGAGCGAGACACCAATCACGGCGACGTGCTGTGGAACACTGCGGTGGTGGTGAGCAATACTGGCCGCGTCATCGGCAAGTCGAGGAAGAACCACATCCCCAGAGTGGGCGACTTTAATGAGAGCACCTACTACGAGTCTGGCAACACCGGGCACCCCGTCTTCAGCGTCAGTTCCTTGATCTAAACAGTCAATTTCCCCATTGGGTATTTGATCACTTAAGGATACTTTATGAGACGACAGTATCGAATAAATTCCAACAATGTCAGTGAAGATGAAGAACTTCTTCACGTTAATTTAAATAGCCAATAAATAAATTAGAAAACTCCTGATAAATCAACATTTGAACTGAAAAATCTAAATAAAACGAGTAAACAGTAAGAATATATCACTACTTCTTGTACACTTGTTCCAGTAATGAAATGATTGTTCATTGCAGACTCAGTTCGGGAAGCTAGCCGTGAACATCTGCTACGGACGGCATCACCCTCAGAACTGGATGATGTACGGCATCAACGGCGCTGAGATCGTCTTCAATCCTTCCGCTACTCTGGACGGCCTCAGGTAATCGCAATTCATAAAAAAATCGCAATTTCATCTGAATGAAGACGTCGCAATATTTAGAATTAACGTAGTAGTAATATTCTGTCTAATTTCCGCCATTTTTATACTAGCACTCGATATTCCAACATTTTACCGTTTGAATATTCGAGAAGATTTCAGAGAATCATGATATATTCACTAATCTCGTACTTTTTGTCTTTCTCAATTGGGTCGCATTTTTGCGGCTACAAGGTGTTTCCAAGCAAATATGCAAAGAAACATTCATGAGAGTAAAGTACTGAAAAATCAACTCGTATACATAATGACTGTACAAAAAAGTAAGTTTTTTAGCTGCAATGAAATTACCAAATTATTGCGAGAAAGAACAGATTGCACGTCCGCTACGTTATAATTGCGACCGTTGTTACGAGACCGAAACGTATGTGGCAGTAGGATGCTCAGGATGTAAGGTGTACAAATGCTCACTATGCCCACAGCAAAAATACCTGTCACAATACCCTTCATTGAGGAGTATTATTTTTATTGGTGTGTGTTTAATCAGCATCAACGTAACATGTAAGAATAATACATGCAAATAATAGAATGTTTTTTAATCATAATTTTGATGGTGAGCCTTGGGGACGTCAAAGCTAATAATGTTCTCATAATAATAGTGGTTTCAGCGTTTAGTAGGACGTAGGGCTGTCGCCGATTCTTAACATCGCAGAACATTCACATAATTTTGCGGTCTCGAACTCGCAACTCACTGCTACAATTCTGCTGTGCTGCTTACTGCTTAACCGCCCGGCCTCCTTGCCGATTCTGACCAGAAGCTGGCGCACAGAGCTGGGTTCGAACCCGCGCCTCTCTGCTCCACTCCTGGTACTCTGAACTGTAACCATTGGGCCACCCTGCCCAAGTTGCTCTATCATACATATCTATCATTCCCTGCTTTAAAGAACATCATTATTTATTTTCTATCAACTACATGAAGTTTAACCCTCATTGGTTTTTACACAGCGAGCCTCTGTGGGGCGTCGAGGCCCGCAACGCGGCCATAGCCAACAGCTACTTCACGTGCGCCATCAACCGCGTGGGTACAGAGCACTACCCGCGCCCCTTCACCTCGGCAGACGGCCAGCCCGCGCACCACGACCTTGGTCACTTCTACGGCTCCTCCTACGTCACGGCTCCTGACGGCTCTAGGACGCCTGTACGACATCCATATTGCACTGTTCATTTGAGGGCATTACTATTAGCGTTACAGTTGGTATTACTTAAGATTAACGCTCGCAATTGTACTGTGCGGAAACCCAAGAATAATTTTTTTTTCAATTCGATGCTGGGATCACAGTTTTGGAAGTTTCAAGCCTTCGTCAGAAACTTATGTAGAAAACTAATAAAGTAAAATTATTAGCAGAGTGCGAGGTAGCCATAACTATAGCAATGATGTTTTATAACGTTTAATTGCCTCGCAGGGTTTGTCGCGCACCAGCGACGGCTTGCTGGTGGTGGAGATGGACCTCAATTTATGCCGCCAAATCAAAGACAAGTGGGGCTTCAGGGTGCGTATTGCATGCATAATCTCAATATCCTGAGACCCTCATAACTACTCAGTTTATATTCTTACTTTTTATATTCATACATGACTTATATCCAGTATAACTATAGTATGGGATAGAAGCGTAGAACAAAGTCAACAAATTGCGACACTAATCTAACTAATCAACTGATCTTTATGGAAGAATAATTAAATTGAAGGATATGGTTTTTCAATAACGATGTAGATTAAAGATCCTTTCAAAAGGCGAAAGGCGTATCAGGCCTATTCTTCTACACCGAAGATACTATGCTATTATACTAATCGAATGCAAGGCTCATTTTTCTGGCGATTTATACTTTAAAATATAGATCGCTCGGTGTTTGCATTGCTGTTAGTCAAGGCACTTCGATAATGGCTCAAGGCCCTAGAATATAGTCGACAGTAACTGATTTAACTTGACTCTCATCGCCTTTTACAAAAGCTTTAGTTTATTTTTGTACAATTCGTCTTTGATAACTATCCAAAGATGGCGTACAGCAGTGCCGCAGTCAATGGCTGAAACGATTCATTATGTTGACAATTTTTCTGATTGAGGAAAGACTGTATTCACTTCAAAGTGGATAGAGGCCTTCCATAAAAAATTTAGGTGACAAAGAGTTTAAAATTTAAACATTAACTCATTAACTCCAAAATTTTACTCACGTCCTCGGCAATGTTTATCAAAATGAAAACCAGTATAGAGCTGAGTTCAGGTACTCGAAACAGAGTTGCGAATTCAATGATAAATTAAATTTCACTCGCAATAAGAAAATGTTGCTGTTTTGAATTCTTGCTGCTCTATTACAATAACCTACGAAGAATATTATAGTTGCAACAAATATGGCTACTGCATCTGTGTTTCAGATGACCCAGCGGCTTGAGCTGTACGGACCGCTGTTGTCGGCGGCTGCTCGGCCCGACTTCAAGCCTCAGATCATCTCCGACTCCTTCACTGACTAGTGATACTAATAGGTCGTTATGGCAGACAGTCCATGTTTTATGACAATCGTGATTTTATTGAAAACATCAATGGCAATGATCAAATTATATTGTATTATTGAATGAAACTCTTCCATACTTCACAAGTGAAGCTGATAAATTCATCGCCGTATTCACTCATCGCTATATGCCTGCGATAACTAAGTAGAATACCTACATAAGAATAGGAGAATTGCAAAAATGTTAATTTTACGAGTTTAATAAATCTTTTACACAATGAGCTGGCTGGTATGATTTTCCTGCAGCCTAGTCATACATCAAGTGTGAGATCAGATGACCACAGAGCGCTCAGGATGGTCAATTGCAGTAGAGCTGCCATCGCTTCGGGAAGGCTCGTAAATTTTCCAGCAAGTCGTGACTGAAAGTAACTCCCGCACAAACAGTTAGCGGGATTATAAATCATCTGCTCGATAGGTCTTGTTGAGTTATTCGTATGAGATAAATAAATTGGCTCTACCGATACAGAATAATGCTAGAATGTGCGTGTGCTGTTTGAATTATTTCCGATAACCCTCGAGTCATTAATGTAATTCGAGTCACTACCCTCATACAGTCATGGAATTGGGAGGGAAATGCCCTCACATTTGGAATGCCCTCACAATTATGAACTCACATCCGGTTGAGTGTAAAATGAGGAAATTTCTCGAGTTAATTTATCATACACGAGTTAAGTTGCCAAATTCCACGAGTTAAGTTGCCAAATTCCACGAGTTAATTTGCCATTCATATTTATAGGGAGACATTAGCCACGAGTCTGTTACTTGTCATAACTAATGGAAAGAATCTATAGTTTGCTGTATAAAGAGGTCTTAATATACGTAAAATTGTTTTGAATCATTCTACAGTACTAACCAAGCGAGTTTTCAAGTCCAAATGCGCTAAATGTGCATGATTGTGGATAATGCCTTGTCAGTTTGACAATCACACTGTCTCGAATTGCCAGTCCGAAAAGGTTAGACAAAAATTATTAATCAGTATTCTAATGATGGAATATTCACTTTAAAATTTACATATTAATATTATGAACGGCTACATATTACCTGTCAAAAGCATGGATTATTATTACGCACACCAAAAATGTACGTATCTTAATAACGAGATGGTGACCACTGTTCGGCTTCTCACTTATCGGGCCAGCTCTGTCACCAAAAAATTGCGATAGTGAAGATATTCCATCCAAGAACAATTGAAAAAAAAAAACTGTATGGTAAAACTACAGTTATGGAATATTGTCATCACCTTCACACAGCAATGCATTTCATATCATTATGGCATCGTGCGTAGGTGGGCACAGGGCAAGTCAACTGCCGAAGAAAACAGTGGAGGTTTATTTGTCATGGTCGCTACAAGAATTGGAAAGTATTCAATTTTGAAACAGTGTGAAGGAAGTGCTGGATTGAATTAGCTAACACAATTGATTCGGTTTAATTAAGCATCGAATCCTGTATGAGCTGATTACATACAGGATTAAATCTACAGTGATATGAATAAGAGAAAACTTCGAGAACAACTATTCAGCACATTGAAGAAATCACTGACATACATAAAAAGTGCTCATGGATGACAGCTCGATATGCTGAAATCAGGGATCTCGACCTTTCTTAAAAAGCTACTTGATATACCAAACAGCAATATTGCAAGAGGACTAACGAAATAGAAATTGAGCACTAATTTGCGAGCAAATGGGGAAATTGAATCTCATATACGCAAAGAAAAAGAATTAGCAAGCGAGAGTGTCTCTGAAGCGTTTAATTGTATAATATTGCATCGAGTTACAATTAAACTGCGATTTTCTAATTATAAGCTTGGAAGCGTTTAATATAAAGTTATCGCTTCCTGTATGCGTTGACCTTGGGATATAATTAACTGGTCGGTTAGTGCCGATGCACTCATGCGTCGGTGGAGGTTGGATTGAGAATTTTTGAAATTGAGGAGCCTGAAATACCTTATTTGGCAGGAGTAGGTTTTCAATTTCAACTATATATAGGAGGCAATTGATACGTTTAATTATCTATTGAATAATAGAATTTTAATGATATTTTCAATGTATTATTTTTTGAGGTCTAAAAATGGTATTCAATGAAAAAATTGCAAAATTGCGCCAAGTTTTTCTATTGCTTTATTAGGAAGAAATTAATCAAGATTTCTTGAATAATAATAGTATTTACTTATTTGGTTTTGGTGCTGAGGTCACCAAGGTTTCCCAGCCGTACTTTGGTACACCCAAAGTACGGCTGGCTAGAATTAATTCAACCATGGGTACACCTATGCTAACCCTCAGCAAAAGGTACGTATGGAAATAAGTTTTGATTTTATCTCGATTGGCACACTTCTATCACACGGTTATACTATCTCCCAAACTCACTTAAAGGAATAAAACATGGAATAATTATCCTTTAGTAACAAATAATTGAATATGAAGAAAAATAAAAATAAACCTAATTGGTCCTAGACTACTTTTTCGGAACGGAATGCGGTGGAAGACCCTGGTTCCATATTTATTATTGCATCAAAAATTTAAATTTAACGTAAAGGTCAAAAAGTATGGAAATGCATGAAGGGTGTGCACAACGTTTGAAGAATCGAAATAACCTACGAGAACGTGCACAATAATTGTGATCACCTCTAAAAGATCGAAACCTTATAACGGTATTTGTATGATACAGGTCAAATTATCACAAAATTGTTTCAGCAAGACATGTCGAAACTTGGCTCTCAATATTTGGTGCAATGAACCGCGAGCAGCCAGTTGCATTGCTGCAGTGGTCAGGTGTGGATGTGTTGTGCTACCGCAGTCATGTCATGACTTGTTTTTAGCCTTTAGTGGTGGATACCAAGTGGATGAAGTTGCAATTTGACTTAAAAAGGCTTAAATAAATCATCGATAAATATGTGAATCTCATTATGTTGTGTAGTTGAATATATGTGGCATCTACTGGGCAAAATTTGACTTGATGATTCCTAGAAGATATTCTTCCAAATTTCAGTGGCAGAGGAGCAATATAACTGAAACGCTGCTACTTACAACACCTAATCATCAGTGAGTAAGTTAGTCGTAAGAAAAATTAGGATTATAAATCAATTTAAAATCCTATTTTGGATTTTTAAGCCTGAGAGGATCTATAAAGAACTACGAAAGAAACGGGAAATTTGTTTTAATTAATAGAGTAGTGTTTATTTTTGTACTGTAAACTGAAAACGGTTGTGAGTGTGAATCATGTTTTGATTCTGATCACCTGTTTACGTTCACGACTCGATTAGGATGTACTCCCATTCTTCTTAGCGCTCGAGACGTCGTGCTGTCTGCCCTAGAAATATTGCTTATAAAATGATCCAAAAACTAGAAATAGTTTTAGGCATATAATTAATATAATTGATTGCGTTGAGACCTGTTGATTTCACAATTGGAAAGGTGAGGTCATAAATTTTTAGGAGGCCGTTTAGAAGAAACTCCATGCCAACTTGAATTATCCAATCCTAAATTTGTAAGACGCAAAAAGTAATTGATTATTATTAATTTTTTTAAAACATAGATGAAGTTCCCTATTAGATTGTATGTGTTTTTTTTTATAATATTCATGCATAGTGTTGCGCAGTTTATGACCGTAACATTTCTTAGAATTAGAGTAAAAGAGCTCGAAACCTGGTGGCTGGGCGACAATTTTTTCTGAAAGGCTCGCAACGGTTCACTGATAAAAACTCGTTCGGTGCACCTGTATTCACTGTTGATCCAAAGACATGAGGCTTCATAGCATGCTGACATTTTTGAGTCTTGTTCGAAACAGGAACTGCACTGCACTGAATTTCTTCATACGGGAAACGGATTATTTATATTGAATTAGAAAATTGGATTCTAAATTCAAAATAAAATTGAATGCAATAGAGGAAATAGAACTGCGATCAATTTACTCCTGTAATTGGTGAAGAAGGAATTACTTTAAGTGAATCTAAAGTTTTTATTTGCAAACGCGGTTGCGTTTTTTTACTTTTGGAAGAAGCATAAAAAAGCTTGTAGCATCAAATATGTGCTGATATCTGACCAGTCCGGAATGCAAGTAAGACCCACACTTCACTATCCAAACAGCCTTATTAGTCGCTTGCGTTATTACTCGTATAATTCAGCTCGTATCTGAAGCAGACGCATTAACTAAAATTTGCTGAAGTAATGAGTCAGTGGGCATCGTGGCATGCCATCGTCTCGGTAACAAAGTTGCCGTTTTTATTTAAAAGGTTTCGCAAGTTCTAGTCATTTACCAGGAGGTTTTAATCCACTCAGACTCAAAAACCGGCCATGTCTTGTTTTTGCATTGAATATGCAATTCAATGCTGGATGTCCAGAAACCATTTAAAGTGGTCACTTCGCGGGCCAGTTGTGTAAGCCGGTGCCTTGCTCGGTTCGGAGTGTTACATTATTCATCACGGCACCTCACTGTGACATACCCATGCACATCTCTTCGGTTGCACTTCAGCAATGGCTACATTGACCTATCTTGTTTGTGCTAGTAAAGATCAGCTTTATTTTAGTTTTACCAATATGTTGTTGATGATCTGACCCCCGCTCATTGCAAAGAACGATCATAAATCACGAATTATTTCTAGTGCTGGATGCAGAAAATTGATTTTGAAGCTTAATTCCTGAAATTTCGCAAAATCTTGGGTGTATTTTCACAAAAATTGAAAGCCGTTGTTTTTCGTCTGAACCTTGCGAGCTGAAAAGAACTTCCTTGGATGTATCCATCCATATCAAATCCTCCAACTTTTTGTCAGTATAAAAATCCGTACCTAGCTCCTGAAAGTAGTTAAAAATATAACTCAGTTCTCACTGCAGTGAGTGACAGAGAGCGCATTTTCTCGGACGGACGGACATGACGAGCACAATAGGGCATTTTTTCCATAAATCAGAAAATGCGCTAAAAATAAGAGAGAACATACGACAAATTTACATATATGTTTATAATGTCTTCTATCACTCTAAACGCAATTGGGAAGTATAATCGGGCGCAAAATTGCTGGATAACCGAGGAACTGAAATGGGAAGATGCCACCTCAGCGTCTCTCCACTCGAGACGTACAGGGCACGGGTTGCGTTTTCAGCGACAGCCTGCCATTGACCTCTGAGGTCTGGCTGGCTCAGCGCTTCACAAATAGTTTTTTATTTAATAGAGACCGGGCCGTGACGTCGTTGTGTCTTCATATCAAGAGGGACGTGAGCGGTCACCAAAACTTATGTTTTTGGTCACTTATTAAGTTATTATCGAGTGAAGACTGCCTTGCTGCAAACTTGTTTGATATGGTTTTATGATTTTAGGAGCATGATTCTCCTACTCAGGCAGTTTTAAGCAAGTTCCATGTTAAAACCTTTATTAATTTTTGGGAATTTTATGCTCAAACAAAATTTATTTGTAATAAATGATTAGATCTGTTTTAATCGAATCGGGAGATATTCTATAATTTTAAGGAAACGAGAAAAGGGTTTTGATGCTACGAATTACAGGGCTGTTTTGCTGCTTTAATTGCCATACAATAACTCATAAACAAATAAATTGGTAGTTATTCAGATCCGTAAACGAACGAACTTTTTTTAATATGTGTTGAAACGAATGCAATCCAATTAGTTACGAATGTCGCTCCTTCTAAATTATCTCATCATCGTACAAAATCGTCGTGTGATCGAAACCTGTTTTTTGTATGATATTTCAGTTTAGTTTAAATGGAGAGTTAAAGAAATGCCTAGGAGTTCTACTTTCTTCCATTTGTTTAGTATTCAATAAGCGAAGCCAGCAGCAATCGTCTGTCCCAAATATTTGTGGAGATACATTGAAAGAACTCGTTCCATTTATTTGTAGTCTAATGTTCTATTGGTCTACAGGAATTATATTGTGATTGATATAAGAAAATCCCTGCATTGCACAGCCAATAAGGCGAAGCGCTGTGCACCATCGCAGAGAATTCACACGCTTGTTGAAACCACCCATTCGGGTCAGATTTCATCATGATAATATTTGAATTACTAATATTTCTCTCAGATGTGATGTACTTTAGTACGGAATGATTTACTTTCACGTAGATTGAAAATATTATTTAATTCAACAATTACCTATATCATAATAGGATATTCTGATTATTCAGACTTCTAGGCGTATTTGTAGAAAAAACTGTAGGGGAAACTGGCCGTGATAACTGCATGCATGGCAGTCCGGCATTAAGGTTTGGATGGAGCGCAAGCTCGCGGTGACCTGCGGTATGCGGGCCACTGAGATGCCCAGACGCGCCTGCCGCTGCTGCTCGCTTTCTTCGGCAGCTCGCGCCTCTGTTTCATCACTGACTCGTGTCAGTCGTGTGCTGCTATGCTTTTTGATGTTATTTATTGTTTTATTTTTTCATCATTATGTGTGTTGACAGTGTACGAACACTCCCTTGTTTGATATTATTTTTATGCTGACAAAGTCGCCGGTGAGTTGGAAATTCCCCGCCCGTCTTCCATTCATGTTGCGAAATTTGACCTCTATAATGTGTTGCGAGTTTATCCTCTCACACATCTAAGGTGATGAGCGGCTTAAAATTCTTCAGGGCCTGCATTGATGAATATGCATTGACACACAAGAGTTCTGGAATTTAGCTGCTCTTCATGCTGACGGCTACCTTAGCTTGATTTCTCACTCTTTCATCCGTATTTTGATTCTAATGTTTACTATGTGTTTCATGATTAATTCCTGTTATATCAATTTAATTTAATAATTTGTAATTTCATGATATTTTATCTATTGAAGTATTATTTAATCCTCCAATCAGCGTTAGCTTGCAACCACATTGAAATATCTAGACGATCATAGGCTCGCAATGTTGCACTGGTCGCAGGACAGGCCGCTGCCAGACGTGTTGTGGGCGCGTGGTCGGCACGCTGCTGCTGTGCAGGGAAAGCGACCCGCCAGCTTTCGTTCTCATAACCAATGTTCCTCCGACCTGCCCCAGACACTGACAAAAAAACTGCATTTCGGTTTCATATTCTTACACTCATGCTTTCGCTCGATTTTATCTCTAAAAGTTCATGTCGTAGAAAGCTCCGTAAAATGAAGTGAAAGTACTCGAAGGCAGAACTAGGGTATGGTGGAGTACGCTGTTTTTTTACAATTTTATTTGAACTTTTGTACTAACAGTTAAGGTTTGACTGTGCTGGTCTTAATTGCGTCTCTATACTTGTGTTCCTAGGTTCTTTGTTAAAGACCGAGTTGTTCGGAAGGCTAATGACACTATTCGCCACTTCACTGTAGCTGTGGTCAGCTGTCAATTCTAGTAATTCTATCAATTCTAGTAAAATTAGTTTATAATCAAGCGTTTCGCGAATGTATTGTGCTGTAACTATCCAGGTTTTTTATCTTATAAATATTTTGAACTTGAAATAAATCAGCATAATTGAACAAACGTTAATAAAAAAGTATGATAAAGTGTCTATGATCTTTTTAGCTTAGTTATTTTTTTGCGGGGATTGAAAACTCATGGGAAGGATGTAATGTTTGCTCGCTACGATAGTGAGGAGGTTCAAAATGTTCAATTTTAATATATTTTGCTAATAGTATAATATTTCATAATATTTCTATACATGAATGATACCTCTGGATTAAATGTAGGCATTTTGTGTCCTCTTCTGCTATTTATGTCAATGGACACTAAGAATTTCACAGTCTCCGGATCTGGTGATAGTGAATTACATCGTTTCTCAATAAATTTCTACCGACATATGTAAGTCTTGTTGCATACTACCTCTCATCGAGTGATTATTGAAGACATTTGCTAATTGCTGGGCCAACCAAGGGGTTCCCGAAGCTCTGGTCTGAAATGTCGGCTATTCCGGGAGCAGAGAGACAAGGCCGTGACGGTCTGTAAATTAATCGTGTAGCAGGATAGTCGACTAATTGCCGCACAACCATACACTTTACGAGGGATATAATGTTGCAGACCTTGCATGAGTCTGTCGTATTCATGCCTGCTACATTTTATTATTTTGATAATGCATTGTTTTTATTTTATTTTCTGTCAATA